TTGCAGTTGAAACGAAAAGAACGCGTCTTAAAGTATTCCGACATGCGGCCGTGTTCTCCGAAGTCCGAAAGCTCAACAAGAATTCCTGAGTGCGCTCACTAACGAGCGCGGGATCTTGACAAAAATGAAAAAACTCGCACAAATTCTGAGGGTGATTTTGAGAGTTGTAAAAGAAAAAGAATGGACTCCGAATGAATTAACCGACCGAATTAGCCCATCGATACCCCATCAAGGACAAGCCCTGAAGAATGCGTGGGAACCCGAAAGCACAGCGAAATCATAGCGTACAACCCCTTTAGAAACAGCAAAAAGAAAGGAACTCAAGAACCACTGCATGCGCATAAGCTCACGCATCACAGGCTGGCGGAAAGAGGAACGAGGATAGATACTCGTTGAGGGATGAGGACAAGAGGGTCTTCCGAGATGAGGACAAGGTTGATAAAGAAATGAAATCCCTATCTGAATCTTCAATCAGAAGCTCAATGTTGCAGACTGGGGGAGGAAGGTAAGCAAAAAAAAGCCCATACAGCGACCTAGCTCAGTTGGTAAGGCACACAAGTGGCATTCAGGAGGTCTTGGGTTCAATCCCCATTGGCCTCATGTACCTTCCTAGGCAAGCTTGGCGCCCGACACCTAGAGATAGGCCGTTGGTCCCGCTGAGTGGCATTGAGCACAAACTGCTGATGTTCATAGGGGGAGGGGACCGGAAGGGAGGCACAGCAACTGGCCCATCGAAGAAGTTGGATCCTGATGCTACCGGCTGACCCCTGGCCAGTATCGCCCACCTGCTGGTGGGTGCAGCTCCCGCATGTTCCCTCGTTGGAGGCTTGAGCACGGATGTGGCTGCTATGGAGTGCCCCATAATACTATAATGACAATAAAAAAGGCCTGAAAGGCCATCCTGTCCAGATTCTACAGGTAATTGAATTGGTTGGGCTCTTTTTTTTTCTTTTTTTTTTTAAAGGGCCCAGTGCCCAAGGCTTGTATTGATATTTGAGAACATTGAGGTCGAGGTCCTCACAGTCTACCCGGAGTAACCAACATATGATGATGAGGATAATGATGATGATGCTAAAACTGATGATTTTCTGGTAATCAAAATCATGATCTGACCAGTCACACTCTAAATACTAACCAATAAGGAAGAGTGATCAGGAAGGCTAATCAAAATGTTCTCTACTCAGAACTACAATACGGAACCCTATCCTAATTCCAGGTATTTCTACCAGTTCCAGCAATTGTCATCTGATGTTGTGTTGTGTATCAATCCCACCTCTACCCAGTCTCACATCATCTATTTAGCTAAGTTACAGGGCAGCGCTACCCGCCCCAGCTCCGACCATCGTCGGCAGGATTGTTACCGTCGGTCAAATTAGTGGGCTGCCTTCCTCCCTCAGCAATCCCCAGATCTCTCTACAAGACCTCAAGCTCCTATTAGTTTAGGTTACAGGGCGATGCCCCAGCACCAGTCAGTGTCGTTCTGGCATCAACTCGACCTAGGCAAGTGCACATTCACAACTCAATCAGACAATCAACAAAATTGATAATAATACCTAAAAATAAAGGATTTGATTTAGCTGAGTCCCCAGCAGATGACGTACYTGATGAGGGTGGTGATGATAATGATTGACGTTAGTAGATATGGATTCTATTCCTCTTCCCCCTACTGTTCCTACTCGCCCCTTGTTGCCTCCGCTGAAAAGAACCTCCCTGATGAGTAGTTTTTTTTCAGCCCCAACCTGGGACAGTCCCACTTACCGCCATACTGACCATTAGGTCCTACCATTCCCCCCCAAAGTATGACCCAATTAAGTTGTTGCCCTAATCTGCCACCGCTGGATAATCAGCCCCAGATTAGCGCAATCCCCCATCTACTTCCACTCCTAACAGAGCATCACGTCCCACCTTGCAATGCCCTTATAGAGTTTCAATTTTCCCCACCTTTCCCACTTACCTTCTCTCATATTCTAATGAAACGCAATCAAAGGAATTTTTTGAAAAACCTAACGATGTAGATGCTACTACTTTTGATGATGATATTGATGATGATGACCCTTGATGTAGATTCAACTTCCCCTCTCCTCCCCTGCCTCTTTCCCCCTCTTCCTCTCCTCCTCTCTCTGTGTTGCCCCCCCTGAGCGGAATCGATCTGCAACCAGTTAAATTCCCTCAGCCCCAGCTAGAGAAAGCCATCTCCTCTTCCTTTACTCCCTTGAGTAATCAGTTCCCCCCACTGATTATCTCAAGCTAGTTGTGCCCTAATCTGCCACCGTTAGGATTTTTCCCAGCCCCAGACTAGAACACTCCCCCTTGTCTGCCTGTACTCCCTCGAAGGTTAGCACCTCCCTCCTTGCGCTTCCTTTGTAGAGTAGAGCTCGCCCCACCTTTAATCCTTAACCTTCTCGCCAGATCTGACTCTAAAGCCTGTGAGGAGAAATCAACTAGTTAGATGATAGTGATAAAGAATACTAAATAATGATTTATAGACAAATGATGGTGATGATGATGGTGATGATATCAGAATGATTGTACAAAAAATTTAGCGAGGGAACTATTTGGGAAATTGTATTTCGAAAAGGGGCGTGATATTCAATGCCGTAATGATAAATTGGATTTAGAGCAGACACAAGTTTGCTCTGTGGAAGATGGCGTCMTGCGCTGAAGATAATTAATGAGAATAATGAATATTGGGGTTTATATTGATGTAGTCAATAATGGTGATGACGTGACATTGATAAATACATTAATGAATATGTGTTGCAGAAGATGAACGTGAATATATGTCGCAAAAGATGAACGTGGCAGCTATATTGCTGCCAATGATGATGAAAGTAGGTGATGTTCACATGAAGATGACATAATGGTGCTCCACAACAGGCGATCTTGAAACTCTTGGTGTTCTTGCTGAAAGGCCTGCACGAAATACAAACAAGAGTAAAAAAAAGAACACAGATAAATTTGATGATGATCCTCCAGCTTGACGATATCCTCCTGCTCTGTGTTGAAGCTTTAAAAAAGGCCAGCGATCTCCACACTTCAGTCTCCTTGGGGCCGACTCCACTTTCGTCCACCGACGTCGACATTCGCCAACTCGCAAGAGCTCTCCAGCCTCTTAAGGACAGTACCTATGGAGTACTTAATGCAGAAGACACCGGGAAAATGTTTAAATAGCAGCCACCGCCACTATTCTCCTTTCTTCTTTGTGCCTCAGGCCAGATGCCACGTTAGCCTGTGACATGGCAATGGCCAAGCGCCTCCGGATTCCGCGCGTATGTAAAGCGTTGTCATCTCTTTAATCCACCTCACCACAGAGCCCGCGCATCAGCACCTCCCTCACACCGACAACTTGCGGTATGCCACGTGTCAGACACTATTGCTATACACTTGCTGAGCCAGCGCCTCGCCAGCTGTAAGTGGCCAGCGCCCCTCCCCTCACATGCTGCCAGCGCTTCGCTTCCCACTAGCAGCCAGCGCCTCGCTGCTTGCAGAAAGCCAGCGCCCCGCAGCCATGAGGTGCCAGCGCCCCGCCTCCCTCAACCAGCCAGCTCCGCCCCCACCAGCGTTCAGCATAGCGCTGCCCACACACCGCCATCGCCTCGCTGCCCACACACCGCTCAGCGCTAACGGGCGCCTGGGCTCAAAAGAATTAGCCTTTAAAAAAAAAAGAAAAAAAGAAAAGAAAAGCCCAAATAGAGTCCAGGGGAGGAAATGGTTCTCAGCGACATGCGCAGGGGGGCATTGGTAACCGTAGAGAGTGGTTTGAAGTTGATGTTTTCGAGTTGGGTAGCTAGATAGCACAACCAGGGTAGTAGGGGGCAAGAGGGAAGGGTTGAGGAAGAGAGTGCCAGGGTGGATGCGGATCCACAGGGATCATCTTTTGTTGCAATAGACAGAGATCTAGTTCTACAGGCTAGTGGTAGAACTAGGATTGGCGTCGGTATAGGATGGCTGTTAGTAAGGGTAGGACTTAGGAAGGTATGGCCTCCAACATTTGGTTAGGTTCAGTTTTTTTTGCTGGTTTTATTTTGGGTTTTATGTTGGTTGCTTTTTGGGTTGGATCATTCCCTCCACCAAGTGTCGTTGGGCAATGTCCTACTAACCGAAGCTGGGCAATGGTCCCAGGACTTTCAGTGTTGCTCTTTCCGCGGGCCAAGTCCCACTACCACAGCGTTGGCTCAACGCCTGAATCTGGACGTGCTTGTGGAGACGTGCAGTTCAGGCACCTCAACACCATTTCTGCACATCTCGGCAAAAGCGTCCACATTCAGGCGTTGAGGTAGCTCAACGCTGCTAGTGGGACCTGGCCCCGGGCTGTTTGTGAGGAATTCCGAGCCTCATGTTCTTTCACGATAAGTAGCTTGGTGCTCGCGATGCGGGTGGTGCGGGCAATGCCCACAGATGCTGCGCTCTCCTTCACCTGCGCGCAATGAACAGTTCGGTGGAAAACCCCTCTGTGCACGTGCTGGGCCATGCCCCCCTCTCTACACGTGCTGGGCCATGGATCGGCTCACCCGAGGGCCTTCGCTAGAAAAAAAAAAAAAAAAAAAAAAAAACGTTCCGCGCCCATTTGCCGCGCAGATTGCCATTCACACTGGCCGGCGGGCCGTGCTCCCGTAGTGGTAGGATGGATGAATTCCTCGATTGTTGCCAAAAAAGAAAGAAGAATTGGCGCACGAGTGCTTCGGGGTAACCCGTGGAAATTGAACCTATGACTGAAGCCCTGGCTGAGTTGGCACACCCATGCACTGTTGATGGCGAGTTCTTTTTTCTTTCTTTGCTATGCGTGTCATCCTTGCGCGGGGCCTCTGTATCGTTCCAATTTTAACGGATGTCCGCAAGGAACTGCATGAAGCAAATCAAATCAAATCGTTCTGAAATACCTGGGGCAGGTACGTTGTTGCCATGCAAAAATCGAGAATCAATACCTTTCTCGGCCTTTTGGCTAAGATAAAGTGGATAGTATCTGTTCTGATCAGTTTGATATCTGATCCGGGGTCCAGCGGTTTTCTTTTTCTTCACCGTTTGGGATGTTCAGTGGGCGGGGAAAGCTACCCAGCAGCGTTGAGGCGCGCAGTTGTGGCGCGCAGTGACGTGATCAGCTTCCGGATTCCCGCCCCCGCCACTTGACAGAACCCCTCCAACAGCACGAACATTCGACCGTTGGGGCAATGGCACAATTGGCGCGCGCCATGTCCGCATCGCCCGCCACGGCATTTTGCGCGCCATCGTGCGAACGACAATGGAAATTCAAATCGTGCTGGGCGGGAAGAAACACCAGCTTTGGTTGCTGCCATCTGTGCAAGGCGCCCGTCCGACGACAGGCATTCCCGAGAAATAGACGTAGATGTGAGTATAAAAAGGATAAAGGCACCGGTCGCCGCCTGCAGAACTTCCAGAGGGGATATGTCTTTGGGCCTTCAGCCGATGAAGCCTGGTCGTCGTTAGAAGTCGTAGGACAGAGAAGACCAGAACGATTGTCTTCCTGCGTGATCGCACGGGAGGTCGGTGCTCGTTCGACCGGTCGTTCACACTGGGAAGACCATGACTGTGGCTGTTCGGCTGGTCGCTCAAGCTCGGGAAATGCCGACTCCGGGGGCGGGGGAACCGACTTCTCTGAAAATGGGGAAACCTCGACGAAAGAGACGACAGAAAATGGCGAGAAGAGCGGCGGACGGAGAAGCTTGATGATACAGCTGGCGGCATATGCGCCCTTACTGGCCCTGACTAAGGCCACAGTGATTGATGGGGTAATGTTCCGTCCAGACCCCGCGGCGGCAATCTCTCTGGGAACGTCGGGGCCCAAGGAATGGCTGGCAGAGCAAAAGCGGAAATCGGCGAGATTTGTGTTGCTGCCCATCGAAATTTCTAGAAGCAAACTTGATGAAGTTTTGTCGTTGTTTAGTAATGACGCCCGCGATGGAGCCGATGCTAGTGGGGGCGGGGCAGGGGGAGGGGGAGGAGGTGGAGGTGGAGGGGGAGGAGGAGGAGGAGGAGATGAGGGGAAAGCTTCTGCTTCTTTGTCAGGCGCTAGCCTCGCAATGAAGGACAGACAAGCCTATATGACCGCCAGATCTTTGGTACGGTCAGCGTCCAGAGACTGCATGCCTTTGCAATCTGGATCGTTGATCGAGCTTCAATCAAAGGCGATAGAAGTGTGCACTTTCCGATTGATCCTGAACAATGCATCATCGCTATTAGGTGATGATGACATCAGGAAAGTGGAGGCAGACGCGGTATTAAGGAAACTCGTCGCGTCCTTCGTCTCCTTGGATAGCGCCATCTCCCAAGGAGCCTCGCTAACGGCCAATGAGGGAGCTTATGACAGCCTAGCAACAGATAAGATAGGGGCAAGGGAAGCCGTCGTGTCTGCCGCTAGGGACACACAGAAGGCCCTCGATATCTTCTCTGACAGGATAAAGATTGTGCTTGGACTCCCAGTGTAACACCATGTGCCTCGCGGATTGCGCCGCCACGATCATCAAAACACGCGCGCGCGCGCGCGTTTGCATAGGTGTGTATGTGTGTGTGTGTGTGTGTGTGTGTGAGAGAGAGAGAGAGAGAGAGAGAGAGAGAGAGAGAGAGAGAGAGAGAGAGAGAGAGGAAAGGGATTTGAACACTCCGTCACATTGTGCATCGCCCATACCTTCTCAGGACAAAAATTGGCATTCGGTCAAAGACCCCGTGCTCGTTCTTTCGGATGATTCCCTTCTCTGGATTCCCCTTCTTCCCTCCCTCACTTTCTTAGTCTCTGTGAGTTGTCTCGCGGGGGATTTCTGCAGGTGTGCTAGTAAGCCGTACGCCTTCTGCATTGATCGTTTCTCGGTGGATTCCCGGTCTGTTCCTCAACATGGCAAGCCACATTTATCATTACGTGGAAAGTAAGGAGAGTACCTTTTCTCCCTACCCTCGGCCCCCCCGCCCTCCCCCCCAAGGAAGGTGAAGCGCATGGGGTCCGCTTTTGTCGATCGATGGAGGAGGAACGCCGCAATCTCTCTATCTTCGTTCTCGCAGGCCCCAGCGCGTAGAGATTTCACATGTATACCTTTCTCGGCCTTTTGGCTAATAAGATCAAGTGTAGTATCTGTGTTCTGATCAGAGTACAATATCTGGCCCATTAAAAAAAAAAAAAAAAAAAAAAAAAAAAAAAACACTGTCATCGACTGCTGAAGCCCTGTCGGCTTTTGCCGCCTGCAATTGGCATATCTATCTATAGATAGTAAGCCATCGATGGTAGTGCGGTCGATACATAGTATTTCATCAATGCGACATATGTGGGACGAAATGGGTAAAGTTTGACCCATACTATGTTATATGAGCCTTTGACACGAATTCTCTTTTTTTTGGTTAATTTGGACCATTTCTCGATTTATGCGTGTCATTCTTGTGCAGGGGCCATGCTAATCTTCTTTCTCTGTATCGTTCCATTTTTTTTTTATTTTTATTTTTTTTGGTATCGTTCCAGTTTTTACTGAATCCCGAAGGACTTTGACAGGAATTCTTGCGAAATGAGAAATGGAGGTATTCCGACGGGCAGGCGGATGAACAGGCGGGGGKACGGATACCTGACTGAGCCCATACTCACATTAGGACTTTCGTATTTCTTTCTGGACGGAATTGCGGCCAGATGCATCCAAGTTCGGCCGTAAATGCGGTCAGATGCATGTAGGATAGTGCTACCGTAGTGTGAATACCCTCTTGAGCAATGCAGGTATGTAATGCACACAAATTTTTTTCTTTTTTTGTTCCCCCTTGTATTTTTAACACAAGAACGTCCGCTGTATATTCTGGGGAGGGTTCCAGTCTGGTACTAATGGTTAACGGGGACCCCCATTGTCAGGCCCTGACCAACAGACCCAAAACTGAAATTAGGGTTTGGGGGTCAAATTTTATGTTTTTTTTTTGTTTTTTTTGTGCTTGTTTTTGTTTTGGGTCAAGGTTTGGGTGTACCGAATTTGGTCTCATTTGGAGCATTGGAATTTCCTCTGCTGAGATTTCTGAAATTTCTTTTTTTGTTCCCCCTTGTATTTTTAACACAAGAACGTCCGTTGTATATTCTGGGGAGGGTTCCAGTCTGGTACTAATGGTTAACGGGGACCCCCGTTTTCAGGCCCTGACCAACAGACCCAAAACTGAAATGGGGGTCAAATTTTATGTTTTTTTTTTGTTTTTTTTGTGCTTGTTTTTGTTTTGGGTCAAGGTTTGTGTGTACCGAATTTGGTCTCATTTGGAGCATTGGAATTTCCTCTGCTGAGATTTCTGAAATTGAATGTTGGGGAAATTTACATGAAAGTGCACTTTTGCCTCGCTGTTTTATAGTTTTTTTTTCTTCTTTTTTTTCAGCTGGCAAGTTTGGATAAAATGACTCTTGGGTTTTGTTATAAATGGCATGACAAGTCGTCTGAAAATTCAGGTCTCCGTTAGCCATCTCTCCCCCGGCAAGCATGAGATAACAGGTCACAGAAAAAGGGAATACATGGCGTCTCAGAGCATACTCACACTACCGGTAGCTCTATTCTTAAATGTATCAGACCTTCTTTCCAGTCAGACCTAACGTATCTGACCGCAATTACGCCCGTTAATAAGAACAAAAAAAATCATCGCGTGAGTGTGCCCTCAAAGAGACTGCTAGCAGGGGGAGTCTAATTGAAGTACCCAGTCCTACCGTGTTGGCCCTGCTAACCCATCTCACCAAAAAGCACAAACGAAAGATTCTTAACCCGGGTTGAATTGTGAGGTCCCCGGCCTCTCCAATCTATTCTGGTAATATAAAGGATTCAGCTTTTCAAAAAAAAAAAAAAAAAAAAAAAACAAGGGGCACGGTTCAACTAGCACACGAGTCATGGCCTATTTGGACCTGTGCGGCACTGTAAGAAAAGGAAGAAAAGTAATTTTAAAGACTTAAAAAAAAGAAAAATGGCGACGGTACATTTCCCAAGATGGGAAGAAGTCGGACTTTTGAAAGTGCAGCCGTCCCACTAACCCTCCCGTCTCCGCCCTCTGCTCCCCACCCAGCCAATACCTAATCAGGACAGAGTGGTACGTGACTGTTGCAGTCTCGCATACCACCTCTGATGGGACTCCCTCCTCTGACGGTTGCCATGCTGAAGCGTGCATTTCGTATATTTTGAGAGAATCGAAGTACTGGATGGGGTTAACAATTGACCCGGGAAAAAGAAGGGGGTCAAAATTATGCCCTTCGAGTACTTGATTTTTTTAAATATTTTGAAGAGCTGCCAATTAAAATGAGTCTTTCTATTTTCTTTTCCCGCCTCTATCTTGGAAACTGGAAAGAAAAAGCATAAAAAAAAAAAAAAGAACACCACTTTAGAATATAACTCCCTCGCAATTTTGCTGCCATCCGATTCTCCTGCATCAGTGGTCGGACGATGTCCCGCAGATGTCCCAAAGGTGTTTGTGGGACACGGCTTACCTTACTCCTTTGCTAGTGGAACCGTGCCCAAGGGAACAATTGAAGAAACAAAAATGATAATCCGAAAAGAGAAAGGCACAACTGTCAACCTCCACTCCACTACGTGGGAGAGTGTCCTTTTCGCAAAACGCGGTGATACCTGAAACTTGAAAGACGTTTTTTTTTTTCCTTCTTCTTCTTCTTCTCTTCTTTTTTTTTTTTTTTTTATGGGCCGCATCACGCTCCGCTGCAGTGCAATACCGAGGCAATGCTGAAAGGATCGAGCAGGCAAGCCTACCCCTTTTGACCCCTCCGTAGCCCTGAAAAATTAATTTAATATCATGTGGCCCGATGGACCACGGATCAGATATTAAACTGATCAGAACAGATACTACACTTGATCTTAGCCAAAAGGCCGAGAAATGTATGTTCTTCTTCTTCTTTTAGAAGAATAGAAAACAGGGGAGCACGATCAGTGTTTCTTGTTTTCTTTTCTTCCGATTGCCTCCGGATTCGAACTTGGGTCTGTTTTTCAACAGTTCAAGGGTGGACCAACTGAGCTACTACCGGTAGGCCCGTTGTACCACGACGGGGGGGGGGGGCGTTGCGCTCTCGGATTGTGAAAAACGGGTACGGTACCGGACCGACTTGGGACGGCAGGTGCAAACGTTTCTTTTTTTTTTTTTTTTTTCTTTAAAGGTGCAAACGTTTCCGATCGTACTGTGGGAGATTTTTTTTTTTTTTTTTTTTTGGGAGCTGTGGGAGATATATGGGCCTCGCCGCCCGACTCACGAACTGCATAAAATATTAAAATACAATTTATCGCGGTGTATCTTTTCCGTTGTTCTAGCGGAAAATTTAGGGCATCGCCACACCACTCTTGAAATGTGCAAAATGAGAATGAACTTCCCGCTAGAACACGGCCAGATGCACGGGCCACATTTTTGTCTTTTCACGTTTCAAGAGTGGTGTGGCGAGGCCCTTTGTTCCTCATCCCTCGCGAAATGGACGTTCAAAAAATCTGCTATCTGAGAGCATGCGGACACTGCGACTTCGCTGAATGTACCCGCCCGACCGGAATTACAGCTAGACCTGGATGTATGTGACCGCAATTACGTCCAGTGTACGTTCTGACGATCAACGGACGGACGAAACGAGTAAATAGAGGAATGCACGGATGCAAAAAAGGTGGAATGTGGAAAAAAAGAGAAAAAAGGAGGAATGGAGGCATCAGTCTTTTTTTTTTTTTTTTTTTTTAGTCTTCTATGTTTTTTTGCTTTGACCATTTTCGTGGAGTATTCTTATTAATTTTATTTTTTCCATTTATCCAGTAATTCTTGGCATTTATGGAAATGGACAATGCTTCTCTCTAGACATATAGACCAGCACGTGCAGTAGTCGTCGGGATTATTGTAGTATTACGTGGATTATTAGTTCGATCTAATTGCTTATTTTTCGTATGTATATAGTACGTAAAGATACCTGCTAACTAGCGGACGTTTTTGATCGAAGTGGTAGTACGTAAGAATATACGGGCAAAACCAAAAGAAAAAAGAGAGAGAGAGAGAGAGAGAGAGAGAGAGAGAGAGAGAGAGAGAGAGAGAGAGAGAGAGAGAGAGAGAATACGGGCTAAGGAGTGGACGTTTTGAATTAAGGTTGATAAATTGATAATCTTTACGTATGTATCTTGGACGTAAAAGTACGGTGGCCCAACCAACGGGCCTAGCTCAGTTGGTACACCCATGGACGGCTGAAATGCAGACCTGAGTTCGTATCCAGATGGAACCACGTGAATGAAGTCAAATCACCCTGAAAAGTGCGGCCTAATTAATGTGGATTAATTGATTAGTTTTACGTATGGATTAACAGCAGGATGTTTAATGTGGGAAAGATTTACAGGGCGTCCTTCGGAAGAGACATCCGTTAAAATTGGAACACGATGCAGAGAAGATTAGCATGGCCTCTGTGCAAGGATGATAAGCGTAGATCTGTAGCGCACAGATCTCTGCGTAAGTATACATGTATATATATAGATGAGTCAGTGAAACTCCGACGAAACCGTTTGTCACAGCCCCTCGTTTGTTGTCCTCTTCTCTCTCTCTGCCTACGGTTTACCGGGCAGTTCTATTTGTGACGATATATATATATATATACGTATATGTATATGAATATATATATGTATATGTATATGTATATGAATGTATATATGTATATGTATATGAATATATATGTATCATATATGTATATATATTGTCGTGACGGGAGTGTATTTTCTGGCTGTGACAGACGTTTCTTTGCTTCGTGGGGGGTTTGCTGGCTGGCTGATGATGGGATTAGAACCCCCGGGTAGGTGGGGACCACCAACCACTGCCCTCAGGGGTTCGTTGAGTCTTCATCTGGTGTGGGTGAGTGATAGTTTGCTTTGATTTTCGACATGGGTGCCCTTGAGGGCAGTGGTTGGTGGTCCCCACCTACTCGGAGGGGCTTCAGTTGTCGGCCAGTCGTTGATGCTTCACCGTAATCGGGGTTAAAATGGATTGACACTTACAGTATTGTCGGTTGAGGCGCTCTGCAGACTGAAGAGGTTTCAGCCTCCTGATAGTGTGACGTACGTGTTTGCATTTAGTAAACGCATCGAAATATGTTTATTGAGAATATATATGTTTCTTCATCATGCGAAAAAGGCGGTTCTCTAGGTAATTTCCTTAGCGGTATATGGATAGATATTGTTAGGATAAGCTCAAGGATATGATGATGGAAGATAAAGAGTCAATCCAGGATGACGGAGTGTTAGGGCAAGTCGTTGCACCAGTTCCATCATCCACTTCAGATTACAACTTGTGGTGGGTGTACCTGAACTGCAATCGTGGCCAAATTGGTCTATAGAACGGATTAGTATATGATAATTTTGCCATGAATGCAGTCAGATGCAGCATCCAAGAAAATCCTAATCTGAAAAAGGACTTGTCATCAGTGTTCGCCCTATTTGTTGGCATCCAAGAAAGTCCTAATCTGAAAAGGACTTATCATCAGTGATCGCCCTATTTGTTGGCCGCACACACAACAGCAATGATAGGGATTATGCCAGCGATAGTCGCTGCCTTCA